TAGTGGTTAAACGGATCGTAGTTGATCCGTACGGACCAAGCCCCACGGTTGGGCACGCATGTGATCCGCGGATTAATTGCAAAATTTAACCATAATAGAGTGAAAGTTTATCAATTGTAGGTGTTTACACACGCAAGCGATTTTAAACCATTCTAGCGAAAGAAAAGGCGAAATGGAACTCGATTCGTTACTCGCACGCCGTTTTCTATCACAGCCGCACAAACATGAAGCTCGCACATGCAGAGAGGCGCGTTTGACTGCGTGCGAACACCGAACTGAACCATCTTTCCTATCTCATTCACTCCTTGCCTTTGAACAGACGCATATACACATAAAATTATGACAAAATACCGATCTCGACAATCATTGTGGCAAAAGCAGTCTGTTGTGTCTTAAGTGAACGAGAACAGCTGAGAAAGAAATCATTAGGCTATATTGGATCCATGCATCAGGTCTTAAAGGGGCAGGAGCCTAATAATACCTGCTGCTGTCATTATGCTCATCAAATCACAAAACACATTTTTGACAAAGATGAATCAATTTTTTAATTTATACAGTGAACACTATGCAGTTTTCTTTTACACTTAATTATTAAATTTCTATATCTGAATACTACCGACCTTATTTGTAACATTGTTCTGTTGTATTTATCTATGTTTGTAATTTGTGTAGCCTATTTGTTCTTATTTTTACTGGCCGTTCACTTGTCTCTTTAATAATGTTTGAACTTTCTTAGGCTAAGAGTTTTTGCTGTGGTATCATACTTATGGAAAGCAAAGTTACATAGATTTTTTTTCTTGCTTATCCAAAAAATGATCCGATCCGTGGCTCAGAAACCGTAATATGATCCGAACCGTGAGATTTGTGATCCGTTGAACCACTAGTTTTCACTATATTTTGGATTTTATTATCCATTGCAGAGTTGATGTTATACGGCTTGTTCAGTGAATTGCTGGCCGGCTCAGTGGTCAGCCGTTAAAAAAAAAAAGGAGTGATTCTGACCAAATTCCCTATTAAAACATAAATAATTCCCTTTGAGCTAAATTGACCTGTTTCCCTTACAAAGCTAATTTACTGATATAGGCTAATCTTACGTGAGACACTGTAAGCAGGGCTGTTTTTGACCATTTCAAATGGAAAGAGCCTATCCTGGTTGACCATTTCTCTCTTCCCATCATTCTCTCCCCAATCACTACTAAACAAATCCCATTCTGTATTCACACCATGGTAAAATATGCACTTAGTTATGGTTCCACTGTAAATTTATTTTGGTGTTCTTAAAATATAACCAATATCTAGGCAAGTATTAAACAAACAAAAAAAATAGTACATACATACATAATGCTTATAAAACATTGCTTTATTGAAACACTGAAATTTTTTTCCCCATTTTTTTAGTTTACTTTTGCTAAATAATTTTTAATATTATTTTAGTAATAATAATGCAAAACATTATTACAACATTAACACAACATTTCGTGATCAGTACAATTTCTCAACTCATCTGCCATTATCAGCGGTTGCATTAACCTGTTTGTGCATTGTTCATAAACTGTGAGACAGAGGCGTAAGGGACTCACCAGCCGGCACGCACTTCTCTCTCTGCTGCAGTTTCCAGCCGTACGCACACGAGCACTCGTACGACTGGTAGCCCGGCTTACAAAACTGACTGCACCCTTTGCTCTTATCGATTACACATACCGTTTGATCTAGATGTGAACAAAAAAAAAATCAGTGAGAACAACAACAAACTTCATTCAGCATCATGTAATAAAGACAATTTAGAAATACTAAAATTTCTTATCCAGTGGTGAACTTTTTAGAGTTTCAAGCCCCATTTAGCAGGTCAAACTAAATGTTAAGTGTTGTATGTCATAATTTTGTTGAAAGGGTCATGAAATGCATTTTCAGATCTTTCTGATTCACTTTACTGCACTGAATTTATGCTCTTGTGACTAACATGACAGGCATGAGTTGTTGACAGACCTCAGCATCATTATTCATTACATTTATTTACAGGCACCTTTCACGACACTCAGTTCACCTTAAAAGTCATCCTAAGAATATTAAAATAACAACAATAAACAGCATACCGTAACATGCATTTAGACACTGAGGAATAAAATATTGCTTAGTACATGTGAAATCATAAATATGATGTCCACGGGAAAGGAATTACACAAATGAAGGGCAACAAGACTTTAACAAGCATAGATGGAAAAACTATAGACAGGTCAATAGTCACTGAGAAGCTATCAGATTTAGCCTAAGTAGATATTGTACCTACTAGTAAGATTTCAGTTATACCACTATTGAGTTAGTGGTAAATTAGAGGATAGCCAGTTTTTAATTCCAGCTAACAGCTGAACAGTAAAGGTGGAGGGAAGACATAGAAGATAGATAAAGCTGAGCATCATCAGCATATCAGTGGAAATGAATGTCGTGCTTCCTAAAAATATGTTCAAGGGGCAATAGATAAATAGTAAATAAAAGAGGGCCCAAAACTGAGCCTTGGGGAACACCAGTGGTTAAACTAAGACAGACCTGTGCCCATTACTCCAAGGGAGTCCAGCTTGTCTAGGAGGATGTTAAACGAGATTGTATCAAAGGCCGTACTTAGAATGAGCACCGGTTAGTTCTCACCACAGTTTAAAGGGGTCATATGATGTTGCTAAAAATAACATTATTTTATGTATTTGGTGTAATGAAATGTGTTTTTTTAACCTTAAACTGCATAAACACATTATTTTCCACATACTGTACATTATTGTTTCTCCTCTATGCCCCGCCTTTCTGAAACGCGTCGATTTTTACAAAGCTCATCGTTCTGAAAAGCGAGTTGTGCTGTGATTGGCCAGCTATCCAGTGCGTTGTGATTGGCCGAATACCCCAAGCGTGTGACGGAAATGTTACGCCCCTTACCATACTGTGATGATGCCCTGTCAGGCCGGAGCGATGATTCAAAAACATGAAAACCCATTATAAACGAGGCATCGTTGCATCCAGTGGGGACATAATTATGGATTATAATAACTTATACTGTCTTTTTACGCGTTGCGTTGCATCGCGCCGCGTAAACATAAAACCATGTCTGCATTTGTGATCGGAGAAATGACAAACAACAAGCACTACTCTACA